GTACTCTTTTGACTCTTTGCAAAATTCACCACCTGTGTTTCATTCCCAGCTACTTCCGATAGCTGCTGCGTCGTTGTTTCACTGACTTTAAGCAATTCAATTGCCCTTTCCAGGTTGCATTCTTTCTTGCGGAACAATCTTACTCTAGCTGTTTTGTCCCATGCACCTAATACTAAATAATCCCTTATCATTTCATCGTTGAGTGCTCCGAATTTACATGGTTCTGCCAACTGTTTCAGTCTATGTACATACTGACTGATTTTTTCTTTTGGTTGTTGTTCAGCACCATGAAATATAAATCTGTCGTACAAAACGTTTCAAGTGGGTGTGAAGTGAGCTTGCAGCTTGGATAAAATTTCCTTTGGATCTTTTAATTGTGCTTCTGTTAATTCTAATTTCAACAATCGCTCTTTACAGTCAGGTCCCATTATTGACTTTAATGTTGCTGTCTGAACTGTTTTGTCCTTAGTGCTTAATCCTGTTGCAATTAAATAATTTTCCCAATTTTGTTGAAAAACTTTCCATTGTTTTTCGTTATCATCCTTGAATATCATTGGTGGAGGTGGTGGTATTTGGTAAGTTGCCATCTTCCTTCCACTAGCCTATGCTGTGCATGAATTAATGGTGACGAATTGTACCGTACACTTTGTGTAGGCCTATCCTATCCTCGTCGGTAAACAACAATTGTACTCACGCAGGCGTCAGCGTACCACCTACTTCTACTCGGTTGAGTAGGGTCTCCTGACCATTCAATGATAACACCAGCGCCTGAAAACATTGTTTTCTTGTCAACTGTGTTGATTTGTAAGATTCTATGTCGTGGTATAGGTTCTTCTTTGTAATTTCATCTAATCCATTTGATGTAATTTACCACTTCTGACACCATGTTGTATATATACCAAGAATAATGAAAGACACTAAAACCAGATTGTAATAACTCAATGGCCGTCTGCTTGACAACCGATTTATTCGCAACTCAACGCTAAACAGCGCCACACGGCAGCTGGATGTGACAACAGAGAATAAGTTATGTACGTCATACAACACTGTCGAATAACTTAGCCCCCCAGAAAATATATCCTAGAGCCGCCACTGTGTGAGGCTAGCTGAATTCTTGACATGTTATTTAAAAATTCATAACAGAGGGTTGTATCACATAATTTTCCCTGGAAAATATTTTACACCACACTATGATTAAAAAAAATTGAAACATTGTGTTGACCTATGAAATAATATTGGAAAAAAGTAGAGCCTATCTAACTAGTGTATTAGAATAGGCTTAATTATTGTGCAGTACAGTACAGCAAGTATTGCAGTAACTAGACTCGTGTAAGTTCCAGTTAACATATGATATAGAGATTTTCCTTGGTTAAAAATATGGATTATTATATTTCTTTCTAAAACCCAAATTAGTAGTTTATAATAATAGAAATCTGTAAGTCAAACGGTAACTGAAATTTGCACGAGTCCAGCTACTGTTGTACTGCACTAATTAGGTCTATTTTAATACAGTGGTGTAGAATAGTTTTTAAGAACATTTTCCAAGAAAAATTATTGTGATACGACCCTCGTTATGGAGTTAAGGATTTTTAAAACACAAAATTATCAAAGCTCATCTTTTTTTTTGTTGGTTACACACCACTGGCTTGGGTTCTTTTTTTTTTGTTGGTTACACACCACTGGCTTGGGTGTTGTCATCACTTGAAGATGTCTACCGATTCATGGAAAAGGCATATGCAAATACAGGCAAACTCGCCTAAGTCGAATGTGCCTGAGTCAAAAAATTGTTCAAGTTGAAATTATTCTTATGTCACTTCATCTTCTGAGTAATCTGATTTCTCATGCATTTCTCCTATAGAAGAATCAAAAATATTTTGCTTTCAGGGTAGGGCACTGCCCTACCTGAAAGCAAAATACACAAATACATACACAAATTCCCATGTAATCTCTGTTTTCAAAGTTACACACATGTTATTTAGTTTTTTTTGTTTTTTTACTTTTGCAGATTGATAAAAAAGTAATTTTCCTGTAAAGGAGGACAGGGTATCTCTCAGAGTGTTTGCTCGCAAGCAGGAAGGAGAAACTTCAGCAGAAAACTTGAATTACTTAAAGCTCTTCAGCCCAAAGCATGCCAGAAAAACACAGACAATCACACCTTACAGAAACAGTCACCTATAGCTTCTAAGACAGATTGTGCTATAACTGTTGGCTGCTGCCTTAGTATTGGTGATTCTTTCCGACAGGTTCGTGCCCCTTTAGGTGGAGGGATACGGCAGATTAGGGTTTCAAAAGAACTTAAGAAAAACAAAGTAATTGAAAGAATTGTGCCATTGTTCTTCCCAAATGGAAAAAACTGTATTAGGATCTGTTGATGATTTCGTGTTTGACTTGGCAACAGATGTCATTGGCAATCAGTTTATAAGTGATGATGAATCTGTTCAACAAGTCATACAGCATCTTGGTCTGAAGCATGCTATTGGTGCTATTTAGTAGCCTCATCACACGACACTGACACCTCAGACGAACTCCCAGATATAGTGTTCGAACAAGACAAGTACTTTCCATGAGCAACACACACTAATGAAAAAGAGGATGTCATTATTATCAAGGACGAAATGACAGAACCACTGCCTGCCTTAGCTTTGGAGGAATCAGATTTGGCGTCAAATCTTTCAGCACAATCTCCGCCATTGTCACCCATACATGACAATCAATCGCCTGTTTATAACATACCCACAGAATTCATAGAAGTGGATACTCTTGCCTGGTTGGATCAGTCTGAAGTTCAATTACCCTCATATTCAAATATGGCAGACATTAATGATACTCTGTCGATAGTAAAAGAGATTAAACTACACCGTGGAAATGTTTTTCAGGATTTTGTTGACATTTTCTCTTTAGAAGAGAATAGGAATTGCCGAACAACTACATTTGAAGCAAAAATGGTGAAAGGAAATGGAGAAATCGAAATAGCAGAGGACAACGGAGGGGTCATGAGAGACGCCCTTTCAGAGTTCTATCAGACGTTCTATCTTCAATGTACCACTGGAAACACAGTTTCTGTTCCAGTCCTTAGGCATGACATGGGCAGTACACATTGGGGTGCTGTAGCAGAGGCATCTAGCATATAGACAGGAACATATGTTTCCCGTAAAGATTGCAATGCCCTTTATGCAGCAGGTTCTGTTTGGCCAAGGGAACAATTCTATGGAGGCATTTATGTAGATGATACCTGATTGTGACAGAGTTCTGTTGGAAGACGCTCTTGCTTCCAATAGTTTTTCATCAGTTGATGAAGAGGAATTTTTGGATCTCATGTCTCGACACGATTCTAAAAGAATCCCGACAGATGCTGCTAGTCTAAAAATAGTTCTAACAGAAATAGCTCACAAGGAGATCATACAGATGCCAATGTTTGTTGCAGACTGCTAGAGTAGAATACTGAAAACATTGAATATTGCTCCAGATGATCTCGATAAGATATATAGGCAACTGAAGCCAAGCACAAAACGAGTGCTGAAGATATTTCAATTTCCTGATTCAATAAGTGCAGATGAAAATACCCTAGCTTCAATCCTGAAGAGACTGGTTCGGGAGATGGATATGAGTCACCTGCCCCTATTCCTAAGATTTTGTACTGGTGCAGACATGACTGTACAAGACAAAACAAGTGCTATAGATTCACCGAAACAACCATAATATGCCACACAGCGCATACCTGCGGATGTGTGCTAGAAATTCCACGTTTATACACAGCTGAGCCCTTCATGACCTTTAAGTCAGAATTTCTGACTTTACTCCAGAACAGATACTGGCAAATGGACATTGTGTGACTGGTAATATAATGATTAATATAGGCATATGGGAGAATTCAAAAAGGTACATAGATATGTAGGATGTATTAGATGATTTTGTTATAATGTTTTTAAATTGAAATTAGCAGATTAGGAGTTACTAAACTATAGTAACATGTTTTTGTTTTGTTTATGAATACCTGTTGTATGCCCTGTAGATGATGTCAACATAAGTGGAAGTAGATAGCAAATTAACATCTGTAATTTTGTAAACCAGAAGATAAAGTATGGGGAGGTATGGTAGTTTAATTATTTCAGGGAACAGTGAAATTAAGTATCATGATAATCGAGATATTTGTTTTACAGTGATTTAACAAAACAAACTTATAATTTAGGTGGACTTAAGTGTTTATAATTCCATTAATTTGTTAAGAGTTTAAAAATATATGTTTAATATGTTTAATGGAATCTTCCATTTTTCATTTTTTTTTTCATGAGAGAAAAACAATTTATAAGTGTTACAGTTATTTTGGCAATAATAAAGTTACATTGATGTGGAGATATCAATACCTGGTGCTTTATCAATCTTAAAACGCCTTACAAGCCAATGATCCCATCAGTGGTTATAGGAGTGAGGAATAAAGAATTTACGGAGAGGCGAGGAAGGTAAGATTTAAAACTTGCATCAGGCTTGTTGGCAAGGATAGAACCAATATTGACGAAAAAATGTTAAAATGGTTTGCAGTTTACATTTGGATGTATTTGTTGTTAAATGCATTATTTTGAGGATACTAAAATCCTACTTCATTTCTCATACATTTGGTTTTCTATCATGTATATTTTTAATTTGTTCACATGATCTTGAAAATGCATCCATGATGGACATGAAACGTCGATCCATTTTGTGAATAATTATATTTTGTGTTCAAATAATATAGTAAACGTCTCTATATTATTTAGACAAGTTAATTAATAAAAGTTCAAAGGCATCAATAAACGCAGCTATATAGACAACACCAATGATGATATTTCTACTTGATTTAATTTCAAGTTCAATAAACAAGGAATCATATAGTTGGATGAAGTTGAAGATCAATTCCATTCTTTGAATGAATTGTTATTTTGAAAATACAATGCATCATTGTAAGAGGCATGGGAGGATTTCCTGCATGATTAAAAATCACAACGGCACTGAAAGGTTCTCTGAACAAGTCATTTCAGTCATTTTTATTTCCGAACGTTTTGGTGCTTGCAGAAAGTAATCATCAAATCAATTTTATAGTCGGAGTTAGTTTCGACCTAGGCAAATCTTGCTAAAATGGTACACTTTCTCCATACTGTATAAAAGCCACTCATGAGATCTGTCTGAATATTATAATATAGAACTCCCACAAAATAAGTGATTATTGGCATTTACATCAAAGAAATAAACAACCATGTTTATGACTGACATTGATCAAACTTCGCATTGCAGAAACGATGTAATCCAGAGAAAAATAATATTGGATTTGTATCATATGCTTCGACCAATAGTTATAAATTATAGGGTGTTTTTTGTTTTTTTTTTAGTATTATAGTATTGATACAATATCTTTTTTTTTTTTTTACAATTATGAGGTCGGGGGTGATGGCAAGTCTTATTCAGAAACTGTGTGAGAAATGGTTTACAGCTCATTAAATGCATGCAAAACAATAGGTCGCAGCGTATGATACAAATCCAATGCCTGGTGTACATCTGCAGGTGATTCGAGTCCATGGTGAACCTTCAAAATTTCGAGTAATTCATACATTTCTGGATCACATGGAATTCCTTCCCTGAATGTACATGCATTGCAGCAGGCATCTATATCAGTCTGTTCTGTTGCAATCAAGTAATCCCTTGTTTCATATAGCAGTGGCATAGTGTACATTACAACAGGCCTTCCATCCGGAACATTCTCATTTTTGCTTCGTCGAATGTTGTGACAGTTCCAAACAGAAACAACACGATCTAAATCATTCTGCAAATAAACAAGAAATAACACCGGAGATTAATGAAAATATGAATTTCTTTAAAAAATGATGAAATAACAGGCCGTGGAACTTTAAACGGACCTGACATTTGAAGAGGAGAATGGACTACTTGTCGAGGAATAGCTAAGCCTGCTTGAATGCACTTGAAGCGCATCCACCTAAACTTAAATTGCCTCCTACAACGTTCGGTGGCGGGGTGGGGGAGGGCGGTAGGCACATAAACCGTTCCAACAAATGTTAAATAGTACAATTTTGGTCAAATCAAACCTAGTACGATTATGCTGCAGAAAATAAAATTAGTATGCCCTTCAACCCCTCCCTAAAACTTTATCCCACAGAACCAATGGGGACAACCAAAGAACATAGCAATAATGAACTATATCTATTCCTGTCGAAAAGGGGTATGTAAACATATATTTATAACTCTGAGCTGAACTCCTTCTGTAAAAACTGCAGCCTGCATATTCTCTAATTAAATCTAACGCATTAAACTTTACATGTTTTGTTAAGAAGCTCAGTTTTCCATTACCTTTCTCCAGCCTGCCACTCCAATCCGGGTTTTAATACCAGTATTTTTCTGGACTGGAATGAACTTATTTTAAATAGAACAGTGAAAATAAGCATCTTGGAGTTTATTTCCAAAACTCTTGGTCATCTTTTTTTTTATAATATTTTTTTTACCTGTATCCATGCAATCCACCAGATTCTTTCAGTTGTTCACTTATAAACAGAGCCACATCCAAAACATTAGACTTGCCACAAGTCTCTAATTTATGGATTTTTCGTAGTATTAGCGTATTTCAGAAAGCACCACCAGTGTCAGTTTATGTTGAGAAACTTATTTGATGAGAATTAGAGACTTGTTAAAGAGTGAATCAAATCGATTGCAGACCGCTGACCGTGACAAGCATGAAGTAATTTTTAGGATGCCGTATTTGGCAATAAGGTGAATGTTATGACAGAAGGTCAACCAATCAAACGGTTCTCGTTTTGGTGCCACGAATGTAGAGAGAAATCAGGAAGTTGGGACATGGCTACACCGTGCAGGTGTGTGGAATATCGTGGTACTGTTAATGGAGGAAAAGAAAACACCAACCAAAATGCCAAAAAAGCTGTATTCCAGAGAAATTTTTGTTCTGCGCACAAGATCGAGTGCGTGGAAAAGCTGCAGTCTAGAAAGTGGTTGTTTCGCGGACCGCCTTAGGTTCACACGAGGCTCAGTATTTTAAAGACTAGAATATTTATCAGCCCACCGCTAGGCCTAGGCCAACGGAAAAGCTGTCATATGCTGTCGCAACTGGGACACAAAATTGAAGACAATGAATACCTGGATAAGCTACGGGGGATGTCGCGGATACGTTTACGTATTTTTAAAAACAAGTGAAAGTCACAAAAAAGAGGAGCAGCCCGTCTGTATTCCCAAGAGCAAAGAGAAAAATTTTGATTAGCGCGGCGAAACATGAACTAACCACCTACAGCTGGTGTAGTGGACGGGACGAGCCAGGCCTATGAGACTCGTCTCTAGATAAAATGATGATGGTACCAATGAGGCTGGAACTAATGTAAAGTTGCGTCAGTCTTTAAATTACTTTATAATATATATGGTAAAACACTGAAAGATCAACAAATAAAGTTTAAAATGTAAAATCACTGTGGTTTGGATCATTTTTTGAGTTTGGTACAATGACAGTTACAATGTCATTTTCTCCCTTTTGTCTATTTGTTTTATTTATGGCCCAATAGAATGCTATAAATTTTGTTTGTAAATTTGGAGTTGCATATTACTCACTGTAACTTAGAAATAATACAAGAAAAAAATGTGATACTAAGGGGTGAAATGTGTTGTGATTAATTTAAGATTAAAATATAAATGTATTAAAAAACAAATGGATGTCATGAAATTAAATCAATTAGGCCTCCTTGTTGGCCAACATACTGTACAATGAACAATAAATTAAACCTTTCTCATTAAGCAATAATTTATTACTTAGCTTTTCTCATCAAATGTTAATTAAAAACAAAAAAAATTGATATATTTATTCATTGTTTAAATCTCGGAAATACAGCTTTATGCAAAGGATTACATTACTGTCAGTATGTTAAAACTAATATGTAGGCCTATTTCAAATAGATGTCTGCAAACCCAACGTGAATATTGACTATTGTGCTCTCTCTAGGCTAGGCCCAAATCTGAATGTGCTGAAATGAACCCGGCGAGAAAGCATGAGCTTGACTGTATCATATCGATAATAATTCTGTATTTATTGGTTACTTTTTATGCAGCACACGTCTGTTGTGAAGGTGTGTTTAAATATTACCTGCATGGTTGGACGAATTGTGATAGGGGCCTAGCACTCGTCGCAGTGCACAAGCTGAGCTGACCTGAATCCTCCTTATCATTAGCTGGGCTGAGGGGAAGCATAATTAGCATATTTAATTTATGCCGCGGTAATTAGCCAATCGGAAATCACAGTTGTTAAATACGTCATACACCATGAAATCGTGGTGCCTGCACTCGAAATACTCACTGTTTTCCCAGTCCCTAATCCCAGAAAAAGTATACTATGGAACGCCATGCAAATAAGTAATATGGAACGCCATATGTGCCAAAATCGATTTAATCTTAAGGATTTCAACTGATTAAGAAAAAGATTAGGGATTGGAACCCAGTCTACCAAAACATCAGCATAATTCTTTCTTCTAAAGAGGTTTTGAGTTGACAACCATCTTTTCAGAGTGCTCATGCTAATAACGCAGCCATGATTGAGTGCAAGAGCTCGCAATATCTCTTTGTATGAAAGTCCCAAATTAAAGTACAGTGCTGCCACATCCATATATGCCTACTGTTTAGTGGGAGTGTCCTAGATGACAGAAAAAAGGGAGAGTTAATTCTAGGCAAGCACAACCACTTTATCGTGTAAACTAGTAACGGCTGGCTACTGTATTTTATGCACAGAGAAAATTTCAAGAAAGTGCTTACCGTAAATGCTCGGAGAAACGCTAAACGCCGTTCTCAAATAAGTGCCACGTCGCTTAATCGAGAGCATAATTATATTACGCTGTGTGTCTTTGAGAAACAGGGTTTTAAATACAATGACAAAGTGTTAATGAACAAATATTACAATGAAGACAAGTATTTCTTTATGAACGTTTATAATTAGGATGATATAAAAGACCTATGATAGACTACGGGAATACGTGAAATAAGTAACATGGGAGCAGGCATGGAAAGTGCCTCGCCAATTTGTTTTTATAAGCGCCGCTCTCAAATAGGCACCGCTTTCAAATAGGCACCGCTTTCAAATAAATGCCGCACTGAAGCTTCCAAAAATTTTATAAGCGCCGAGGCGCATATTCGAGCATTTACGGTATCTTCTAAACGGTAGGTATAGAATAGCAGTTGTAAGGAACAACTGAGTTATAGTCAAACTACTAATGTAGATATAATTTCATCAAATTTAATTATTATCTAATTACACTCAGAGTCTAGTACCTTAAATGGCGAAAACCGAACAACAAACAAGACTGACCAAAATTAATTAAGAAGTCTTGACAACGTGGTCTAGCCAACTGTGTTACACCAAGCCAAAGCATTTTTTCACAGTGGTAAAGTGCCATTTCCGGTCATCCAGAGGTCCCTATTGTCAGGCCTGCCTATTGTCAAAAAAAATATTTTCGGAAGGGAACCTCCTCCCAAACCCACCCGTTCCTCAGGCATACAAACACAAGTCCCTCATCTTCCCCCACCCAGAAAATGTATGAGCCGCCACCTCTAGTTAGGCCTAGTAGGCCTATAGCCTAGGCCTACACTACCCACTATAACAGCGTTGACACTGCCTTTAAATCATAATATCGTGATCTTGGTAAAATTGGGAAACACCACCAATATACTTTAAATAGTCTACTATACTTTGAATAATTATAAGGGGCTTATAAATGCATGTTTGAACTTACCTACGTTTAGGAAGCTGGTGCCTGTTCTGCATCAAGTAAGGTTATACCGTAACCTACCGCAAACTGGGTATCACAGGTAATTAAGTGGCGGCCGCCAGATCCGCGGCCGCCACATAATTATCTGGCGGCCGCCAGTTAACGGATCTGAAATTTTAATTAATAATAATAATAATAATACACTGGTGACACTAACAGGCTTCCGTACCTAACAGCTCCCACTGACAAACAAAAATAGATATTGAATCGTATGGGAAAGGAGGGTACCATATAGCAAAAGCCCAACTTAGTATTAGATTACTCAGATGGAAAATGCTATTCAATCCTCATTGTCAGAACCTCCTACTTCTTCAACATTATTATAAGCCTCCTCGTTGATGACAGCTTCCTCGTTGATGACATTTTCCTCAGAGACAGCTTCAACTGGAGCACTGTCAGCGTCACTTTTGGGTTTCTGAAATTTAAAGCAAGCAAACAATATTCCAAATTTTTGTGTGTGTCTGTGGTGGGGGGGATGCCTACCTTCCTTATACTTAAAGTATTTCATACTGCCTTTTCGTGATTTTCTCTTATGTTTTGCACAATTTTTTCTTAACAAATTTATATTCTGCCCAACATAGTTACAGAAAAACGAAGCACAGACAAAGTATTTTACTTTGTTTACACAAAACATCACATGTTACTGATTTGTGTTGGAAATAAAGAAATTTACACTGCCAATTTGATGACGTTAAAAAGTCTGGAGATGATCCTGAGAGAATTGTATTTGTTCAACAATTTCGCTCGGAACCTTTTCTAAAAATGTTTTTCAAATGTATGTTAAATTGAAAGTGAAATTTCTAGGATGGGTGTGCCCATTTAACTACCCCTAATTTGATATGGTGTTCTCATTTAGATAAAAATCCTTTTTCGCTCCTCAAATATGAAAGAAAAGTGGATTTACCTTGTACTTCATTCCTCCTGGAAGATAAGCCGTTCTCTTAAGGAATTCCCCAAGACACTTTTCGATGGCATCTTCCTTCACACCGTGATGATTTTTTACACATTCTCCTGAAAAACAAAGGCGCAAATCAACATAATTACATCACACTCAGTAACAAATAATTGTCTGATTACCCTACTAAAAACAAACTTAGACTGCAAAATTACTTCTCCTCCAGCCTTCAAGACGAATTGGCCTTGTGATTAAAAAAAAAAAAAAATCAATCTTGCTGATCGGCACATAACTTCCATATATACACATATTAAAGCAATCTTTAAGTGAACTAATCATTCTAATTAATCACTTATTAATATTAATACTCACCGATTATGACAGGGAAGAATCTTGTGTTCTTTAACCCTCGTTTGCTTTTCCATCCTTGCACATTGAAGCTTGACCACAGTTGATTTGTTCCTTGCTTTTTCATTAATCGTCTTGCTGTTTCTGCAACATCTCCACGACCAACTAGACTCAGGTAGCGTATCTGAAAATACAATTAACCAAGTATTTTTGCTAGTTACACTGTTGCAGATTCTCTTATAAATGGAAGTTTAACCTAAAATGTTCATAGAGTACTCTTAAAATCTTTTCTGCTAAAAAAAATTTTGAGACTCACACAGGCCTTGACCAAAACGCATAATCTAATGTGCTTGATTTGCTGGAATGATCATAGGTTTCAACATAACTCTCTGTTTCAGTTTTATTATCAAGTGATATTTATCCATAAATATCTTGAAGGTGAAGGCAAAATTTTGAAGACTTTTGAATTCTAAGCTGTTTATTTATCCATCTGAACATCATTATATAGCCGAGACATTATAGTTCCGTAATTTTTTTGATTGGTTTTAAGAAGCATGATGTGTAAGACAGTAAGAAGTGGAGGGATGGTGTAGCTGAATGGAAAGATTGACAGTCAGTAACACCTTGGAAGAGGGAGAAAATTGAAAAGGATGATCATGACGATGATGAACTTTCGCAATGTTAAATACTGTAGTGTCTTTAAACTCTGGATGCTTATTTAC